TTTGTCATCTGTTAAACGAGTAATCTTCCTTTACTTTTTTTTTGCAGATCAATCAGATAAGCTGCTGTGTTTGGTTATGCAAAGTGGGCGTAAATACCATGCGCTCTAGCTTTTCAACCGCTTCTTAGTTTACCCATATAGTAGGCATAGGACTGGGTTCGCGCTGAAACATTGGTGAGCGAGTTGGAGAGAACTTATCTTGAGAATGATTCGCGCTAATCATATTAGATGGGCTTCCCGTAGAAACTCTTAACACTATCAGTTGCGTTAACTAGAAGGAGTTGCTAATGAGAGTCGAAGGACGATATTTGAAATAGCAAGAGTGAAAGATGTTTCAATTAGGCGGAAATGTAGTTTTTCAGTTAAATACCACCTCTGTTTCAAGAGATGGCACGTAAGCGAGAAATTTACCAATCAGTACACACACCGACATTAGTGCATTATAGGATTAAAATTGGTAAACCTTGCAAAAAGCCGCAGTTTTGTTTCAGCTCAATCTTCTTCTGTATTACAACTTAGAAATCATGGGAACTGCAACATGTTTATCTGTTAGAAGTTGGTTACTCAATTAACATTTTTTCAGTGGGTTATCACTGAACTAGCCAGCTACAACTATTCAAATGTTATTGTGCCCATGTACGAAACCCTGGGTTTCGAGGCCTGCGTGTACATCCTCAACCAAGCAGAAATGCAAATTGTCGTTTGTGATGCGGTTTCTAAAGCAATGGGTATACTCTCAATTTATTGAACCTATAACGTGCTTTCAAATAAAGTTATCGTTTTCAGGCCTCATAGAAAGAAAGCCCACTTGCCCTCATCTGAAGTACCTGGTTGTAATGGAACCAATTACGGACGAATTACGCGCTGCATCAGAGGAATATGGTGTACGAGTCATGACCATGCAAGAACTTGAGAAGATTGGTCACGATGCCAAGAACAGGCCAGAGCATTTGCCACCAAAGGTATTGAGATAGTCATGAAGTTCAATGTTGACCATTAGATTAGATTAGAATGTTCAGCCAGAAGATTTGGCCACCATTTGCTATACCTCTGGAACGACCGGCACTCCGAAAGGTGTCATGTTAACCCACGCGAATGTCGTCGCGGATACCGTGTGCCTGGAATTTTTCAAGCACACTGGATTTTGTTCAGCGGTTAGTTGTATCACACATGCTCTACTATTTAGTATGGTTGACCTACGATATTGCCAAATTAAATGACATTCAAGCTCATGGGAAGACCATATAAAAGTTTGTTTTCTGTACTTGAACCACTCAATCTCAAATTTTGATGCGTCTTGAAGTGGTTTATTGCATGACATATGATCGCTGTGATGTCCATGGCAGGTTGTTTTCTAAGTAGATG